ACCTCTACTTCTGAGGCCGATATCTATGCTGGAGCTATGGCTGCACAGGAGTTGCGCTGGCTGATGTTCTTGCTCACTGACCTTAGTGAGTGGCCGAGCTCTGCGCCGACCTTGTTCACTGATAACAAGGCGACGATTCTCCTCTGTCGAGAGCCGCGACTGGAGAGAAGAGTGAAGCACATCAATGTCAGGTACTTTCTTCTGCGAGAGTTGTAGAGGCGTGGACAGGCTCGTTTCGACTTTGATGAGTCCGAGGCCAACACTCCAGACATCTTCACCAAGGCCCTGCCACCTTGTGACCACCAGAGGTGTTGTGTGCAGTTAGGTCTCGTTGACAAGGTTCTCGCCTTGCATAGTCTTGAGTTCTCTCCTTGCCTTGTTTATACACTTTACATATACCTCTGTGAACTCTTGAACTAGCCTTGTGGCTCTTTTGCTTCTGCTCGGAGTGTGTGGTGACGTTGTGATCCACCCTGAGATTTGTTTCTTTGTGACTGGTCTTGTGACCGTACGCTTTTGGTTTTGCTTGACACCCCTCACTTAGACTATGGGGGTGTGTCAAATGTTGTAGTCTTAGTGATGTGTGTTATAGGGGGTACAACTATTAGGGTTAGGTATTTGTACCCCAACCAACCTTAGTAAAAAAAAAAAACTTTCATTCTTGACAAGGGGTTGGGCTGTGAGGGGCATGTACAGAGACGGTGGTCCGTGTCTTTTGTCAAACGTGCGAGACCAAAGGGGTGGAGGGAATTGCGGGGAAAGGGGTTGTTGTACGAGGGACTGGGCGCGTGGGGTGGGGGGGAAAGGGGGGGGGGGGGGGGGGGGGGGGGGGGGCTTGAGTGGGGGGGGGGCTGTATGTCAGAATCCCAACCACTAGACCATTGGGATAATATGGCTTTTTAAGTAGCGGGTCAGTGCGCCCATAACGCCCCAGGCCAACATGCTTGTAACCCTTCTCTAGGATCAATCGGGGATCACCAGTGGACCTCTGACACCCCCCCGCACTGGGATGCCCAAAGTGCACACACTGAGATTCGAACCCGAGACCTTCGCTCTGATACCATGTAAGAATCCCAACCACTAGACCATTGGGATAAAAGGGCTTGTTAAGTAGCGGGTCAGTGCGCCCATAACCCTCCAGGCCAACATGCCTGTAACCCTTCCCTATGATCAATAGGGGATCACCAGTGGACCTCTGACACTGTAATGGTTATGGTAGGAGCGAGGGGCTTGATGGACGGGCTGGCCTAGTATAGGAGCGAGTGAGGGACTTCGTGGGGGGGGGCAGCTTGGATTGGTGTGAGGGGCTTGAGGGGGCACGGGCACGGGGGAAGGAGTCGCGGGGGAGGGAGGGTACTTTGTCAGTATCAAATGAACGCATACGCGATGTCTGAAATGTCAGACGAACTAAAACACTTGGACTTTTTTTCCAGACGAAATATAATCCTTCGTCTTATGGATCAGATGAAATAAATTTGATGGTCTTGAAAATCAGATGAAATGAAAAAACAGGTCTGATTTTCAGACCATTAGACCGATTTGGTCTGATAACCGTAGCCCTGGCTCCTAGACTTAGACTTGACGAACCCTAAAATATGCAAACTAGATCTTGAGTAGAAACCAAGCATGCGTGATTGGTAATAAACAGATGCCCCCTTTTTGTGCCACAAGACGGCGTCATATAGTGGACAACACAATGGTTTCATGGAGAAGTGGGGTATCGACCTCCGTACCTCTCGCATAATGAGCGACCGCTCTATAATATGTCTACATCCCCATGTGTTCACATGCTATTTTTGTCAAAATCCCAACCACTAGACTATTGGGATAAAAGGGCTTGTTAAGTAGCGGGTCAGTGCGCCCATAACCCCCCAGGCCAACATGCCTGTAACCCTTCCCTAGGATCAATCGGGGATCACCAGTGGACCTCTGACACCCCCCCGCACTGGGATGCCCGAAGTGCACACACTGGGATTCGAACCCGAGACCTTCGCTCTGATACCATGTCAAAATCCCAACCACTAGACCATTGGGATAAAAGGGCTTGTTAAGTAGCGGGTCAGTGCGCCCATAACCCCCCAGGCCAACATGCCTGTAACCCTTCCCTAGGATCAATCGGGGATCACCAGTGGACCTCTGACAATTTTTATTTATCGTATGTTTGTTCAGCTCTACCTGCGCCTCCAAGTTTCGGGAATTTGGGTCATGCATTGTCTGGGGGACACCTGCGCCTCGAAATGTGGATGGATTTCGAATGGAAATTCCAAATTCGTAGACAGAGGCCGCGCCGCACTACAATAACAAGCAAATGTACGTCACTCGACCAATCCCCGTTCATGTATTGTAATGCGTGCAAGTGTATGTGCTCGTATAAACTTGTTTCCTCAAATTATTCCAGACATCGTGTGAGTTGATGAACGCAGTGCTCATTTCTTCCCCGCCAATTATTCGAATCAGAAGTGCTACTACTAGTAGCAGCTTCCCTCTCACTCGCGCACAGTTCGTCATGGCTCGATCTGCGCTTCTAGCGCTCTCCCTCACGCTTCTCATCGCCGTCGCAAGTGCTGGAAGTCCCCTCACGAGCTCCTCTGTGAACGCGAAGCCTGACCCGAGCGGCAAGAAGGACGACGGTCTCATGACAGACATTCCCAAGGACATCGCGAAATAGGTTGCGGCTGGATCCGCGGCTGGTGTCACATACGTGGATACCGCGCAGGGCACATTCTTCATGGCTGATGTGAAAAAGGCCGGATGGAACACGCAGAAATGCCTGCCGGGATTAAACAAGGAGCTTGCGGGCGCATGCACTGCGAAGAATTGCTCCAAGGGCGGAATTGCAGCTAAGTGGAAAACCTCTTACCTACAGAAAAACAAGCTCGGGCTCGAGCTGTACGTGCCGGGTAACCCGCTGACTCTTCTCAAGGCGAACCCCGTGTCGTGCTGCAACACCTGCGCCGCGATGCCGCTGTGCACCTACCGGCAGTACATCCCCGATATAACCATTGACGGGAAAAAGGGCAAAGGCGCGTGCTATCTGATTCACGATCAGATCAATTTCTCCTACGGAGAGATGACCGCGCAGTACAGCACGGAGACGAAGCCAGTCCACCTCCAAGTGCGCATCGGCGGCGAGTGCAACCCGAGCCCAAAAATCCTCAACGACCCACATCTGGTCGGCGCGCATGGCATGCATTTCGACTTCAACAGCCGCCCCGACAAGGCGTTTTGCCTACTGACCGATCGGAACCTTCAAGTAAACATGCTGCTGCGGGGGTATTATGACGAGAGGACGGATAGCACCGCGGCAGTCGTGGTTGATGGGAAGGCAGTGCACACGTGGATTAAGGAGCTCGGCATTGTTTGGACTGCTGGCGGTGCGGATCATAAGTTCCGACTCGTTGCGCGCAGCGGCAAGCAGCAGGAGCGCGGCGATGGGTTCGTGGAGGAAATCGAGATTGACGGCGACTCTATTCCGCGCATGCAGATTGGCGATAGGGTTACCAGCGTCGGCGGTCTATCGCTTGAATTTCGCGGGCTGGAAAAGGAGGGGCCGTTCAATGTGGACTATTATCTTTTCTCGATCGAAGGGGTTGATTACCCTGGACCTTCGTCTGCGCGTGGCACATCCGAAATTGCAGACTCCGACCGAAGCCGAGGCGCACATCAACATCGGGATTGCGGAGCTCGAGCACACGGAGGATATTCACGGCGTGCTTGGGCAGACGTACCGCACGGATCACGCTGCGCGCGCCGCAGATTTCCAGCGCCTCGTCGCGAGCCTGCACCGTCCGATCTCCGCCGATGGCGCGGAGGGGGAGGGGTTTTTGGATGGAACTCCGAGGTCATATGAGGCGAGTGACGTGCTTGCTGTGGATTGCGCTTATACCGCGTATGGCCGCGCCAGGAAGGTGATGCCCGTACAGGATTTCCTGTAATGAGCTGACAACCGTAGTAGGCTGTATTGTATGGTGGGCTGGTTTTTCAGTGGGGTGGTTTTTTTATGTGGGCTGGTTTCTTCATTGGGCTAATTTTTTCAGTGGTCTGTTTTTTCAGTGGTCTGTATTTCAATGGGCTGGTATTGTGTGTTGGCTGTACTGTACGTTGGGGTGGGGCTGTTGTTTTCACTGGCTTGTGAACTATTTGCGTATTTTATTTCTTTTGCGGCTGTGTTTTCAGTGGGCTGTGCTTTTCAGTGGGCTGTGATTTTCAGTGGGCTGTGCTTTTCAGTGGGCTGTGCTTTTCAGTGGGCTGTGTTGTCTGTGCATGTTTCTCAGTGGGCTGTGTTGTCTGTGCCTGTTTCTCAGTGGGCTGTTTTATTTCTTTCTCGGTGGCCTGCTTTTCTTTTTTCAGTGGGCTGCTTTTCTTTTTTTTCCAGTGGGCTGCTTTCCTTTTTCCAGTGGGCTGCTTTTCTTTTTTTCCAGTGGGCTGCTTTCCTTTTTCCAGTGGGCTGCTTTTCTTTTTACCAGTGGGCTGCTTTTCTTTTTTCCAGTGGGCTGCTTTTATTTTTTTCCATTGGGTTGCTTTTCTTTTTTTCAGTGGGCTGGTAGATGTGTGTTTTGGTTTCTTGTGATGGGTTGCAGCTGCAGTAATCTAGGAGAACTTTCCCTGTATCCGTCTTGTTTGAATTAGCAATTTCATTTCAGCAATGTAGCTTTCCAACCAAACATGAAAACCAGCACCAAGCCGAGACCACAAAAATGTGGTCACATACCGGTAACCAAGACAGAATAGATTGTTGCCAAACCGTTTTGCTTCCAATAGACAGTACATAGTAGAAGAGGAGTTGCAATTAGTGTCTCTCTTGCAGACTGTAGCAGCTGTGCTCTGTACCGTATAACTTCCCATCCCAATGTTCCTGCAACCGAAACTGCAGTAGCAATGGCAACAGTGGGTAGCATAGCAGCGCAGTAAAAACTGGTGCATTCATTTCTTCGAAATCGGCAGAGGCAAGAGATTTGTACCAGAGACAAGGGTGGGTAGGTAGGTAGGAAAGAGGGGACTCAGGGACGAGGGAAGAGAGAAAAGAGGCGAGACATTGACGATGGGAGAGAGGGCAGGGAGGAGATAGGACGAGGGCGGAGAGAGAATAGGTGAGATATGGAAGAGGGGAAACAGGGATGATGGGAGAGTGGGAAGGGAGGAGATAGGACGAGGGTGGAGAGGGAATAGGTGAGATCAGGAAGAGGAGAAACAGGGATGATGGGAGAGTGGGAAGGGAGGAGGTTGGACGAAGGTGGGGGAGCGCAGGTGGAAAAATCCCGGACAAGGAAAGTGGAAACAGAGGGAAGCTAGGACACGCAGGGAGGTGACGGAGCACATGAATGGGGAAACTGAGGGGAAGTAGGGAGGAAGCTGGGGGAAGCATGGGGGGAAACGAAGGGAAGCAGGAAGGAACTAAGTTGCCATATACGCTTATAGCGTATATACGCTCATCGTATACGCTAGCGTATACACACTATCTGCTTAAGGGGTCACTTTGGCCATACACTATTTCGGGCAGTAAAAAACTTTTCCCAGGCAAGGGAAAAAAAGCCCGAAGGATGTTTGAGGGGGGGTATGTTGGGGGTTTCGGCTGTGTGATTTTTTTTTTCCCCATAATATGATTCCGACACGATGCGGCCATGCTACAATAATGCTCTCCTACCACCACGACTAAGGCATGAGAACATAAACCAGCCTCCCCGCAACATTCCACATGCCCCCCCGCACCTTAAACCTTGTTCTATGCATACTAGTCTTCCAGCACGTCATCCTCGCCTTCCTCCTCCTCCACCTCCGTCTCATCCAACCCGTTGTACCCCTCGGGGATAGGAGGCTCGTCCCCAATCCCTGGCACAAGGTTCGGCATTACATCTGCGCGCGAGTGCCAGTTGCGCACAACATTCCAGTTGTGTGCAACAAAAACCAGGTCCTGGCACTTTGCAGATCCGAGGCGGTTCCGGCGGGCTGTGTGGACTGCATCCCAAGTTCCCCACCCACGCTCACAAGGGGATGCAGATATAGGCTGAGAGAGCACCCTCACGGCGAGAGACATCAGGTGAGGTGCATCTGTGCCGTTCCACTGCCACCACTTCACCATGCTGTATTTACCCGCCTTCACCTTCGCCCTTTGTGCAAGCGCCTCCGGCATCCCGAAACTTCCTTTCAGGTCCAAGAAAGCCCTCAGCCCGTCACCCAAGGCAAGCAAGTAATCAACACCCTCCTCCCTCCCCTTCCTGTCGTGGCCGATGAGGAACTCCGCGTGCTGGTTGATAAATGCCTTGAAAACCCGGGTGCATTCGGCGTCGCTGCCGAAGATGTCCTTCTCCTGGTTGGCGGGGTTGAGGATTCGGCCAGCAACGTGCATGGCGCAGGCGAGGTTGTTATCCCAACGGTTCTTGATGATGCGACGGATCTGCACCTTGTCCGTGCTACTCAGCTGCTGCTCATCCTCGTCCAAGAGGTTGTTGACATCCTCCGTAAGCTGCAGCATTACATCATAAAGCCGGCCCATCATCCCCTTGGCATCTGTGTCCGTCTGCCGCATCGCCTTGTAGGGCAGTTTCATCAGCTTGCAGAAGAATTCAGCTGTCCGCCACCATGCGGCATCGAGGACCCGAGCAGCAAAGGTCTTGGCAGCTTCCTTCCGCGACCCCACGGCCCACTCCTTCCACCAGTCGGTAAGTACCATCGCGTTCAGGGTGCTACGCAACTCACAAAGGCGGGACACAGCAATGTACTGTGTCCCGAACCGTGTTCCCGCCAGCTTCAGCGGCTGCAGCACCTTCCCCTCCACCAACTCCGGGGTCATCTCCCCAGTCCGATCCACCACCCCTTTTGCCCACCCCATCTTTCCCACGTCCTCCTGGAGGAGATCCATCACATGCGTGGCACAAGGGACCTGCTGAATGTGGGGCCACTTGGCAATCAGCTCCTGGACAGCCACGGCATAGTTCGATCCCCCATCCATACAAAACACGACCACATTTTCTGGTCCTACCTCCTCCACCACCGGCTGCAGAATCCCCGCTACGTATCCCCCCGTCTTACGCTCCATACCGCACTCGATCGCCTCCTTGAAGACGGCGCCGGAGTCGTTAATCAGAAGGACGTTCGCTTGCGCCCTCCCACATTTGTCCGTCATCATGTCGGATGCAATTGTTACCCCCGTCTTCTTCCAGCTCGTTTTAATCCCCATCAGCCCCTGCTCAATCCCTTTGCGGACAGCGACTAGTCCAGCCCCGCCAATGAAGCTCCTCTTGGGGGGGACGTAGCCGGGGCCGGCGCGGTTGACGAGCAGCATGGCGTTGACGAACAGCGGGTGGTTTATGGTGATCTCCAGGATTCTGCAGGCCGCAAACATCAGCGCAAGGCCCTCGTGAGCATCCCACTTAGCCGCAGCAGCATCTCCCTCCAAGTAGTCGGTTATGCGCCGCTTCCCACCGCCAGCCTGGACCGCCGCAACCGCAGCAGATGTTGCTCGGCACTTTTCCTCGTTCGCGGCAGCCAGGTTTTCGTATTTGGTGCGCATCTCCTTGCGTACGTCTTGCGGTGCCTCCTTGCAAAGCATCACCTCGCGACGCTTCATTCCCTTCCACGAGCTCAGGTGCTGCGCGCAACGAATGACTGCACCGGTGAAAACATTGAAGCAGTACTTACACTCGTACTGCTGTGCTTTGCCTTCAATCCGCTTAATGATGCTGAAATGTTTGAAGACAGCGTGGTCCATGACGGGAAGGTACTCCCTACCCTCAGGTTGAACACTCCGTGAACTCTGCACTGTCTGAACGGATGGCGGTGTGCATGGCGGGCTAGACATAATGAACGAGATGGGAAACTGATGAATTGCGTAGTTGCGTGCAACCAACTAAATAGCACAACGAGAGAAGGGAACATTGAGACAAGTGGTCGGAGAGAGTAGATGGGTGGGGATTGAATGCGGTAACAAACAGAGCGCACAATGTGTGAACGTGAAAATGCGACTTGTAAAATTGACACCACCAATCGCGACTATGTGGGTTGAACCCACGTCCACGATTGGACGAGTCACGTACGTGCAATTCGCCTTCGGCAAAATGCACGCGGTGAAATTCCGCATCTTTCCGTATATTCGATTTTTTTTCCGCCCGGGCTGCCCCGAAACAAATTTGTCGAGCGTATAGTGGATTCGCTTGCGTATAGCGTGTTGCGTGTATACGCTGTTAGAGACTAAGGACGGAGTCTATGAAGATTAGGGGCTGAAATATCTCAAAATCGTCAACTACAATTCTGGACAGAAAAGTCGTCGTCACAAGAAACGTCGTCGACGAAAGGTCCACTGTTAGAATTCTTTCAAACTCGAGTATGTTGTAGCCCTTGACCGTGGCTATCTTTCCCAATTTGAATAGTATCAAAATATGGAGTATAACTCGAGTTATGAACTTCGGCGCACTGGGGGGTATGCTGCCATAGAAAACGTAACTCAATCACAATTATCTCACAAGTTCACACAAGAAAGTTAGAGTAGCAATAAAACCCTGTAGGAGGGGATGAGGAGGACGAGAGGGAAGGTCCCAAGGGAGTCCCCAACCAAGGACACCCCATACCACACAATTCCCCTCTCTATAGGCACCCCAACTTTGACATTTGTCACTTTCCCAACTCATGCCATCCACCTCACCCAACTTGGCCACACTTGCCAACCTGGTTTGGCACCTCCCAACCACTTGGCAGCATCTACAGTGATGTTGACGAATTTCCCAACCCCCAAGAGTCTGTACTCCTTATGGAGTCAACACCACAACTTCCCATAGTCACCACAACCAAATATCAAAAGCATACGAACTTCCAACGTTCGTAACTTTCTTGTTCGTGCTCCGATTGAAGCGATACTTGGTTCGTCGGAAAGCTCTTGAGCAGAGGAGTCACTTCAGATATTTGCTCAAGATAAATAACATTCACACACACTCAGAAAAACCAAACCGCACAAAACACAAATTCTTGCATACGCTCACACCACGCATGCAACGCACGAACACATGATGGGAGGCAGACAGACGTGAATGCATATGATTGCATCACACAACAAACTCCCCCTCTGGCTGCCAACCATCATCCCACATGTCATAGCTCAAGCATGCACCCTCAATGCACACTCATCCCAGCAAGCTTCATGCCCTTCCAATGCTCAGATTCAGCCAGGCGCTTGGTGAGAATGTCAGCCGCCTGCTGATGGGTCTTCACAATCTCCAGCCGCACCTCCTTGTCCAGGAGCCTCCTCACCCAATGCCACTTAGGCCTGATGTGCTTCGTCAGCCCATGAAGGCAAGCGTTCTTAGCAAGCTTGACAGCCGACTCGTTGTCACAGAAAATCACAGTTGGCTCCTTCTGGCACACTCCGATCTCCTCCAACAAACGCCTCAGCCACACCACCTCCTTTGCCCCATGATGCAGAGCCATGTACTCTGTCTCACACGAGGACTGCCCCACCTCGTTCTGCTTCTTGCTGCGCCAGCTCACTGCACCACCTCCAAACAGGCACACATAGCCTCCAATGCTGGTGCCATCCGCCTTCACAGAGTTGAAGCTAGCGTCGGTGTAGCAGGTCAGGAGCATCTCCCCCTTGCCCAAATCAGCTGCACCCCTCTGCAGCCTCTGTCGCACAGCACTGTACTCCAAGCCCACTGATGCCGTAGCGCTCACATAGCGGACCAACCTCTTGGCCGCTTCCAGTTGCTCATGACTGGGGCGTGAAACCACACTTGCAAGCCCGGATGTAGCAAAGGCAATGTCAGGCCGCGTGTGGTTAGCCGCATAATTGAGTGCCCCCACCATGGAACGAAACAGCTTCCTGTCACTCTCACCCACCACCTCCTCATCAGCACAGGGCTCCACAGTGAACCCCGAAGGCAGTGGGGTGGCTGGCTTTCCTCCATCTTGCAGCCCATACTTCTCAGCCAGCCCCTCACAATACTTTCTCTGGTGCAACCTCAACACTCCCTTGTCAAGGTCCCTCTCCACATGCATGCCCAAATAGTACTTCACATCTCCCATCTTGGAGCACTTAAACTGCATCTCCAGCATCTCCTCCACACGCTCAATCATTGCAGACGACTTAGAGAAGAGCAGGATGTCGTCCACATACACCAGGAGCATGAGAAACTGCTCCTTCTCTTGCAGCAGGAACAAGCTGTGATCACACTCACTCTTCTTGAAACCCCCAGCCAGCAGTGTCTCCTCCAACTAGTGGTACCATGCGCGAGGAGCCTGCTTAAGGCCATAGATGGCCTTCTTGAGCCTGCACACCCTGCCGCTCCCATCATCCAACCCCTCAGACTGCAGCATGTACAGCTCCTCTAGGATGATCCCATTGAGGAAAGCAGTTGTGATGTCCATCTGCTTGTTCCTCCATCCACGGTTTGCAGCCATTCCCAACATCACCCTTAGTGTAGTCCCTTTCCCCACAGGAGCAAAGATCTCGTCAAAGTCCTTCCCCTTTGTCTGCTGAAACCCCTTTGCCACAAGCCTTGACTTGTAGCGGGTCAGCTCCCCATCAGGTCCGTACTTGTGCCTGAAGATCAGCTTGGAAGAAATGGCCTTCTTCCCAGGAGGCAGCTCGCACAGCTCCCACGTTTCATTCTCCAGCAGAGAGTCATACTCCTCCTTCACACTCTGCTTCCACTTCTCAGCATCGGGCCCACTTAAGGCCTCAGCTAGCGTCTTGGGCTCAGGGACGGCTGCCCAGTAGCAGTGTGCTATCTCTTCCTCATCACACTGCTCAGCCACACTCCCAGCCCGTACCACCTTTGGCTTGCCAAAGCTCGGATAGGTCAGCCGGTTAGGAGGGCGCACATCCCTCCTAGGACGGTCAGCCGGACGTGCGGCACCTTGTGGAGCATCTTGCTGCTGCTGCTGCTGCTGCTCCTCCACCTCAGGTTCTCCCCCATCCTCAGTCACCCCAGAAATCTCCTCCTTTGAGACAGTGACCTGCACTTGCCTCGAAGGCCGCTGCACCTCATCGGCCTCAATGATCAGCGGTGTAGTAGGAAGCTTCTGCTGCTGCTGCTTCCACTCCTTGTAGTACAAGGACTCAAGGAACTTCACATCCCTTGACACAGTCAGCTGCTGGCTGGTCAAGTCCCATATCAACCAGCCCTTATGATCCTTAGCAAGCCCCAAGTGTACTCCCCATCTCCCACTAGCCTCCAACTTTCCCCTCTTCTCCTTAGGCACATGAAACACCACCATGCAGCCGTAGGCTCTCAGCATGTTGACTGCTGGTGAACTCCCATACCACTTGGTGTAGGGGACCCACTGCTTGTCCCCCACAGTCGCCAACACCCTGTTCTTCACAAGGGCGACCTGCCGCAGTGCAGTCACCCAAAACGGATCCGGCAGCCCTGCACGCCCAAGGAGAGTGCGAGCACCTTCTTGCAGGGTCCGGTTGAACCGCTCAGCCACCCCGTTCTGCTGAGGGTTGTAGGGCACTGTGAGCTGATGCTGGATCCCCTTCTTCTTCAGCACCGACTCAAAATCAGCACCAATGAACTCTCCCCCATTGTCGGTGCAGATCACCTTCACCTTGTGTCCGCTCTCCCTTTGAGCTCTCGGCATCCACTCCTTAAGAACAGCCGCTGCCACTTCCCCCTTAGTCTTGAGAGGGTACACCCACACGGCACGCGTGTGGTCGTCCACAATGGTTAAGAAGTAGCGGCTGCCCGAGAGAGAAGGGGCCCTCGTAAAGCCCACCACATCCATGTGCACAAGTGCGAGCGGGGCCTTAGCTGGTCCCGTGCCGCTGCTGAACGGAAACTTTGTGAACTTGGTCTCAAGGCATGTAGGGCAGCTCCCAATCTCCTTTGCTGCCCCCTTCACCTCCAACCCCTTCAAGCTCCCATCCTTCACTAACTTCTGCAGCATAGGAATGTTGATGTGACACAACCTCTCGTGCCACGTCTCCCAATCGGCATCACCATTCCCAGATGAAGCCTTTGCCCATGCAGCGGTTGCATCCACACCAGCAAGCACCTCACCATGTGGCTGCTGTGACTGCTGCACCTTCTTGAGTGCATCTAGGGCCCCATCGGTTGGTGCAGTCTCCTCTCCTCCCGCAGTTGTTTTAGCCGTTGCTGCTGCCGCTGCTGTTGCTGGTGGTTTCCCATTCCAAGGGATGATGGGCAGCTGCCATAGGTCCTTGATGCAGCTGCTCTTCTCCTCCAAATCCCACAGCAGCAATTTCCCAAGCTTTGCACGGCAGCTGGTTGGGCCGAAGTTCATTTTGGCCTTGCTTTTCTGCAGCCGGCGCACAGAGAGGAGGTTAGCGGACAAACCTTCAACCAGCAGTACATTCCCCAGCCCCACAAGGCCCCCATTGGCTCCCATTACCTTAGCATTCCCAACACCAATCACAGGGAGCAAAGCACCTGAAGCGGCAGCCACAAACTTGATCTTCCCAGGGGGCTTTACCTCGTCAAGCAAATCTGCCCGTGGGGTCATGTGACTCGTGCAACCTGAATCTATCACCCAGTGAATGAGGGGGTGCATCACAACCTTCCCAACTGAGCCCACATCACCCTCACTCCCTTTCACATCCTCAACCATGAGGAACATCCCAGGGTTGGCTTTACCTTGTGCACCATCACCTTGTGCACCTGAACCTTGCACAGCGCCACCTCGTGCACGTTCACCACTTGGCGGCTTCATGCCTGGGGGCGCCCATCCCTCAGGCCGGCTGAAACCCTTGAACCAAGGGTGTCCAGCCTTCTTGCAGTACCAGCACGCACCCTCCATTCGGGTGCTCCCCCTGCCACCAGAGCTCCCATGCCCCTCATTGTAGTCACCTCGGCCTCTCCCTCTGCCAAAGCCTCTCCCACGGCCTCGGCCTCTCCCTCCCCCTTTTCCTCTGCTGCCTCCTGCAGCTCCATACCCCTCAGCAGTTTTGTTGGCAGCACCACCACCCGTGTGGCGCCTGCGGAAGTCCTCCTGCAGAATCTGCTGCCGTAGCCACTCAGGTGTCCACTGGTCCTGCTGAGTGTTGTGGGTGGGGATGAGGTTGTCCCACGAGTTGTCGAGCACCGAGATAATCTTGGTGCACTGCTGCATCTGCGACACATTGCTGCCCGCCGCTGCCATCCTTGCATAGGTGTCCTTGATCTTGTCAAGGACCGGCTTCACATCATCGCCCGGTTGCATGGAGAGGGCAGCCAGCTCCTTCTCCAACACAATCACCATCGGCAGCGTGTTGGGCTGAATCACGTCGCGCAGTAGCTTCCACCCCTTTGGTCCGGAATCATCCAACTCCACCAAATCCTTGATGTGTTGGAACATGTCGTTGTTGACCGATTGAAGGATTAGGTCGTACAGCACCGCGCTTTTCTCAATCCACCGATCGCGGAAGTCGCCTTCCTCCGGCATCTTCTCTTCTCCCATCGCAAGTTTCAGCAGCTTGTAGCGCTTAAATGCACTCCGCATCCGCCCGCTCCATTCCTCATAGTTGGAGCCATCCAATGCCTCGATCTTGGATGGTGGCGGCTCATTCCTCTTCTCATCTGCATCTCCACTCCCTTGACTCATTTCCTTTGCTCCCAAGCACAGGTTCCAGCTCCCCCTTTGCTGTCCACACCGAAGTCCCACTCAATTTCCACAAGTGTCGGCGCCAACGAAATTTCGGCAGAGTTTCCCCTTAGCGGAAGCCACATGCAACCTCCAGAACTCCACTTAGGCACGCCCACAGGCCATGGTGGGTCTAGGAGGGTCTTCACACTTCAGTAGACTCTCCACAACGTCCTTAATCAGCTCTGATACCACTTGTTAGAGACTAAGGACGGAGTCTATGAAGATTAGGGGCTGAAATATCTCAAAATCGTCAACTACAATTCTGGACAGAAAAGTCGTCGTCACAAGAAACGTCGTCGACGAAAGGTCCACTGTTAGAATTCTTTCAAACTCGAGTATGTTGTAGCCCTTGACCGTGGCTATCTTTCCCAATTTGAATAGTATCGAAATATGGAGTATAACTCGAGTTATGAACTTCGGCGCACTGGGGGGTATGCTGCCATAGAAAACGTAACTCAATCACAATTATCTCACAAGTTCACACAAGAAAGTTAGAGTAGCAATAGAACCCTGTAGGAGGGGATAAGGAGGACGAGAGGGAAGGTCCCAAGGGAGTCCCCAACCAAGAACACCCCATACCACACAATTCCCCTCTCTATAGGCACCCCAACTTTGACATTTGTCACTTTCCCAACTCATGCCATCCACCTCACCCAACTTGGCCACACTTGCCAACCTGGTTTGGCACCTCCCAACCACTTGGCAGCATCTACAGTGATGTTGACGAATTTCCCAACCCCCAAGAGTCTGTACTCCTTATGGAGTCAACACCACAACTTCCCATAGTCACCACAACCAAATATCAAAAGCATACGAACTTCCAACGTTCGTAACTTTCTTGTTCGTGCTCCGATTGAAGCGATACTTGGTTCGTCGGAAAGCTCTTGAGCAGAGGAGTCACTTCAGATATCTGCTCAAGATAAATAACATTCACACACACTCAGAAAAACCAAACCGCACAAAACACAAATTCTTGCATACGCTCACACCACGCATGCAACGCACGAACACATGATGGGAGGCAGACAGACGTGAATGCATATGATTGCATCACACAACATACGCAAGCAGATATCCGCTAAACGCAAACAGGTCTGAGCGTTTTTGGCAACTTAGGAATATGAGGGGAAGCAGGGGGGAAATGAGGGGAAGCAGGGGGGAAATGAGGGGAAGTAGGGGCGAAATGAAGGGAAGTAGGGGGGAAATGAGGGGAAGTAGGAGGGAAATGAGGGGAAGTAGGGGGGAAGTGAGGGGAAGTAGGGGGGAAATGAGGGGAAGAAAAGGGGGTGAAATGATAGGAAGCAAGCGAAAACTAGGCGTAGAACGGGTGGAGAATGAGAGGAAGCAGGGGGGGAAACGATGGGAAGCAGCGGCGGGGACGAAGGGAAGCAGGGAAGGAAAGCAGGGGAAAAAATGAGGTGACAGAGTGGGGTACATGAGGGGCAACAGGCCGGGAAATGAGGGGAAGCAGGGGGGGAAATGAGGGGAAGCAGAGGGAAAAACGAGGGGAAGCCGGGGGGGAAATGAGGGAAAGCAGCGGGGAAATGATGAGAAGAAGGGGGGGAAATGAGGGGAAGCAGGGGGGAAACCAGGGGAATCACGGGGGGAAAGCAAGGGGGGAAATGAGGGAACGCAGGGTGGGAATTGAGGGGACGAAGAGGTTCAAATGAGAGGCGCAGGGGGAGAAATGAGGGGAAGCAGGGGGGCAAATGTGGGGAAGCAGGAGGGGGGATGAGGGGAAGAAGGGGGGGAACTGAGGGGAAGGAAGGGGGGGAATGAGGGGAAGGAGAAGGGGGGGGGGGGGGGGATGAGGGGAAACCGCCTTTGGAGGGATGAGCAACAAAATGGGGGAGAGGGGATGTGGGGGATAGTTCTTTAAGATTTCGCTCACAGCCTTGGGGGGATGGGCATGAAATGAAAGGGGGGGGGAGGGGGGGAGAGGAGGGGGGAGAGGGATGTGGGGGATAGTTCTTGTAGATTTCGCTCGCAGCATTGGAGGGATGGGAAGGGAAGGTAACACGGGGAGGCGCGAAGAAAGGAGCGGAGGCACTACGAGGGGAGTGGAGGCACGACGAGGGGAGAGGAGGCACGACGAGGGGAGCGGAGGCACAACGAGGGGAGCGGAGGCACGACAAGGGGAGCGGAGGCACGAAGAGGGGAGCGGAGGCACGAAGAGGGGAGCAGAGGCACGACGAAGGGAGTGGAGGCGCGAAGAGGAGAGGGGAGGCGCGAAGAGGAGAGGGGAGGCGCGACGAAATGAGGGGGGGGAGCGGCGATGGGACAGGAGGGACGAGGAGGGGCGGCGCGACGAGGGTGCTGGCTCGACGACGGGAGGTGAACATCACAAAGGGATGCGGCGCCGAAAAGAGGGGTGGCGCGAAGATGGGAGGAAAGGCGCGACAAGGGAGGCGCAAACAAGGAAGCGCAACGAGGGGACGGGAAGCTCAATGAAAGAAGAGGAGGCAACTTGAGGCACTGAAGTGCCACCTAAACCGTGGGCAAGCGTATTGAGGTGGCTTCACTCACCCTCGCGACTAGTTTGTGTAAACGCTTGTTTAGTTCCTTAAATCCTTCGTATCTCTTGCTGCAAATGTGCTCTTGGGATGACTGATCAACTTGGCTGCTTTTCGCGATGTGTGAGCATAGATCATTGCTTTAGCACAACCCGGTATCAGCAGATCCACAACTCTTGAGTTCGCACATGAGAAATTGTTTTGCGCAAACTCAGAATTTTGTTACCAAACCCGTTTGCAAATGCATATGGCATTTAGGGCGAGCCCAAATGTACCATTCAGAGCAGGTTTTGCACTTCACCTGCACCGTGGTACAACATATTTGTACCGCAAATAATATGCAAGAAACGTACATATACGACCTGGAAGCTTCCTTATCTTCCAAATTCCCATCATGGACCACGCTGGCAACAGCATGTCAGAATACTGAATGAGAGTGAATGCATTGAGCAGAAAGTTGGTACAAGTACTAACCCTAATTGGGTTGTACCCCTTATGGGCTACCCCACTACAGCCTACACAATGTAAGCATTATAACATTTTGACACACCCCCATAAACAAAATGGGGGAGAACAAGTGGTCACAAGACCAGTCAAGAAAAGCAAAGCAAGCTCAGGGTGAATCACGAAGTCACCACACATTCCAAGCACAAGCAAATGACCACAACGCCAGTTCACATGCAGAGTTGTATAAAATAGAACAAAAAGTACAGTGATCATACCCTAGCAAGTGTAAGCATGCAGGTATATATATAGATCACAGTACAAGCAAATTCACGCAGTAAGTGAGGCAAAGTAGGCACAAGGCCTAAAACAGTACAGAAACGCTGATGATCACCAGACTGAAGTGCCTTGGTGAATATATCAGAAGTGTTGGCCCGAGTGGCCACGTAAGCAAGACGAAGCTGGCCACGCTGCTGCAACTCTCGAGCAAGGAAGTAACGCAGAGAGATGTGCTTCGTTCTGTGCTCCAAGATATGCTCCTGACACAAGGCATTCATAGCCTTGTTGTCTACATACAGAACTGGAGAAGAACGAGGCCGCTCTCCCAAGTTGGTCAGCAGGTAGGTGAGCCAGCGTAACTCCTATGCAGCCATGGCCCCTGCGTAAATCTCAGCCTCACAACTGGAACAGAGAACAGAAGACGAGCGGGTAGACCGCAATGAAACAGAGCCAGAGCCAAGGCTGAAAGTGTAACCCTGTGACGACCGCTGCGTAGCCAAGTCGTCAACCCAAGAAGCGTCTGCGTGTCCAGTGAGGACAGTTGGGCCCTGTCCTCCAAGCACGAGCCCCATGCCCGACATACTGCACAAGTAACGCAGTACCCTCTTCGCAGCATCCTCGTGCACCTTTCGGTGCCTACCGGGAGCCACGTAGCGAGCCAGGAGGCTGAGAGGGTACGCGAGGTCAGGTCGTGTGCACGTCATCACGTACATGAGGCAACCCACAAGCCCTGTGTACGGACCACTTGGCTCCACGGACTCGTCCGAAGGTGGAGCTGAGAGCGAGTGGCTGGTAGACAGAGGAGTGGGCTGTGGCGAGGAGAACTGGAAGCCGAAGCGCTGAAGGACCTGGTGCACCATGTGTGACTGAGTCAGTGTGATGGTGCGCTGTGCTCTGTCCCGGGTGATCTGCAAGCCAAGATAGCTGCGCAGTTCATCCAGGTTAGTGCAGGCCTGTCTCTTCTACAGCTCCGACTTCACAAGGGTCAGTGCCTCAGAGTCAGCAGTGGCAAAGACCAAGTCGTCGACGTATACGAGGACGTAGAACGGCGGCAGCGAAGTGTCAGTGCGCAGAAACAGCGACGGGTCAGAAGTCGAAGGAGCAAACCCAAGAGCTGCAAGCGTCGTCCTCAGTGTGTCGTGCCACTCGCGAGGTGCCTGGCGGAGACCATAGACTGGCCACCGGAGGCTCCAGCGGGTACCTGCAGGAAACGACCAAGTGAAGCCAGGTGGGCGGCGCAGCCAGATCTCTTCATGCAGGCTGCCCTGTAAGAAAGTTGTGCTGAAATCAAGAGAGTGTAGCTCGTAGTCACGCTGAGCGGCGACGTGCAGAAGAACCCGAAGAGTGGTCATCTTCGGGGTAGGGGAGAAGGTCTGGAAGAAGTCAACTCCCTGTCGCTGACTGAAGCCTCGTGCAACGTAACGAGCCTTGAAGACAGGCGGAGAACCCGACGGCCGCTTTACCCTTAAAATCTACATGCCATCAACTATGTTCGCCCCAGAAGGGGTAATTGCGTCGACGTAGGTGCCTGTGGACTTCCAAGATGCCATCTCTGCATACATGGCTGTCTTCCACTGAGAGGAGTAGGGACCCGTAATCGCCTCTGCGTAAGAGCGTGGGGTCCGGATGTCTGGTGCATCCGGGTCTCCCTCAAGCAGCATGGCCACGAGATGAGGTACAACAACTGCAAGACACTCAAAGTCCTCCTGCCTATCCTCAAGGACGCCTGTGCCAAGAGCACACTCACCCCCGACGGACGGAGGACAGTCAGACTAGGACTCAGCAACAAGACTAGTGGCGTAGTCTGTCAGAATCCCAACCACTAGACCATTCGGATAAAAAGGCTTGTTAAGTAGCGGGTCAGTGCGCCCATAACTCCCCACGCAAACTTTCAGAATAACAAACGAGAATGAATGCATTGAGCAGAAGTTGGGTACAAGTAGTAACCCTAATTGGGTTGTACCCCTTATGGGCTACCCCACTATAGCCTACACAAATGTAAGCACTATAACATTCTGACACACCCCCATAGGTAAAGTGGGGGAGAACAAGTGGTAACAAGACCATTCTAGAAAAGCAAAACAAGCTCAGGGTGGATCACAAAGTCACCACACAGTCCGAGCACAAGCAAAGGGCCACAAGGCCAGTTCACATGCAGAGTTATATAAAAGAGGACAAACAATACAGTGATCATACCCTAGCAAGTGTAAGCATGCAGGTATATATATAGATCACAGTACAAGCAAAGTCACGCAGTGAGCAAGTGAGGGAAAGTAGGCACAAGGCCTAACATAGTAGAGAAGCACTGATGATCACCAGGCGGAAGTGCCTTGGTGAATATGTCAACAGTGTTGGCCCTAGTGGCCACGTATGCAAGACGAAGCTGGCCACGCTGCTGCAAATCTCAAGTAAGGAAGTATCGTAGAGCGATGTGCTTCGTTCAGTGCTCTAGTCTGTGCTCCTGACACAAGGCAATCATGGCCTTGTTGTCTACGTACAGAACTGGAGGCGAACGAGGCTGCTCTCCCAAGTCAGTCAGCAGGTAGGTGAGCCAGCGTAACTCCTGTGCAGCCATGGCCCCGTCGTAGATCTCAGCCTCACAACTCGAGCTGAGAACCGAAGACGAGCGGGTAGACCGCTAGGAAACAGAGCCGGAACCGAGGCTGAAGGTGTAACCCTGTGACGTCAACTCAAGAAGCGTTTGCGTGACCACTGAGGACAACTGGACCTCGTCCTCCAAGCACAAGCCCCATGCCTGACGTACTGCACAAGTAACAGAGTATCCTCTTCGCAGCATCCCAGTGCACCTTTCGGTGCACCATGTGTGACTGAGTCAGTGTAATGGTGCGCCGTGCTCTGTCCCGGGTGATCTGCAAGACAAGATAGCTGCGCAGTTCACAGGGTCGTTTCCTGCAGCCAGATCTCCTCGTGCAGGCTGCCCTGCAAGAAAGCTGTACTAAAGTCCAGAGAGTGTAACTCGTAGTCACGCTGAGCAGCGACGTGCAGCAACACCCAAAGAGTAGTCATCTTCAGGGTGGGGGAGAAGGTCTGGAAGTAGTCGACCCCCTGTCGCTGACTGAAGCCTGTAGTAACGTAACGCGCCTTGAAGGCAGGCGGAGAACCCGGCGGCCGCTTCACCCTGAAAATCCACATGCCATCGACTATGTTCACCCGAGACAGGGGAACTGCGTCGACGTAGGTGCATGTGGACTTCCAGGATGCCATCTCGGCGTCCATGGCTGTCTGCCACTGAGAGGAGTAAGGACCCGTAATGCCTCTGCGTAAGAGTGTCGGGTCGGGATGTCTGATGCATCCGGGTCTCCCTCAGGGGCAAGCAGCATGGAAGCGAAACAAGGTACAGTAGCTGCAAGACACTCAAAATCCTCTTGCCCGTCCTCAAGGACGTCCGTGCCAAGAGCATACTCACCCCCGACGGACAGAGGAACCTGTGCATCCAGGGGCTCACCCGGGACGCCAATGTTATGTGGTGTGGCTTGTCGTCCTCGCCTCACATCTGAGCCGACGAAAAGAATTAACTCGTTTAAGTTGACTCTGAAGTCAAATTTGCTTGAGTCGACTCAAACGGGTGCATCCAGGAGCTCACTCAGGACTTCTTCTTTCTTTGGAACGCCCTTCTTGTTCGGCTTGTCATCCTCGCCTGACATCTAACCTGAGTCGACTCAAACTATTAACTCCTTTGAATTGTCTTAATACTGTGCATTTAAGGGCTCACCCAGGGGGGATGTACTTCTTTGGAGCGCCTATCTTGTGCGGCTTGTCGTCCTCGCCTGACATCTGGTGTGTGAAAATGAAGGAGGCGACAATAAGGGAGTGGCAATCCGGGGGGTGGCAACGAGGGAAGTGGGAACAAGGAAAGTGGCAGTAAGGGATGTGACGGAGAGAGAGGGGGCAACAGCAGAGATGAGTCACAGAAAAAGCTGACTTATGACAATACACCACACATGAACTAATTGCCAGGTGGCATAGACAATGAGCTGCCACTGCCAGGTGGTGATCAGCAGCAAGTGTCAGGTGGCGACCAACCAGGTGGCGACCAACAAGGAATTGCCATGTGGCGACCAACAAGGAATTGCCATGTGGCAACC